TTGCAGTACAGTACGCTTCCAGAACTGGTGTAATGATTGGGCAACATGTGACACACTGGATTATATGCGCAGAGGGAGAGGTAACTTTCTGAAAGTGGCTAGAGGATGAAAATATACATTCCCTTAAAAGTATTTGGAAATTTAAGATAGCTACATTTTCAGCAGAGGTTTTCTGTAGGGAACAAATAGGTACAGGTGAGAGGACACTTATATCCACTGCTTAGATCCTGTGTTGTCTTGTCTTTTCCCCTATCTAGGAGGTTCTTCTGTCAGTATTGAGCAGTGCAAGCATGTTGTGTCAGAGCTCCAAGACAGCATGCGCAAGGCCATCCATCTGTACCATGTGGTAAGATACCCATTTGCAATAGCTGGTCACATCACAGTGCTTGTATATGACTATCCGTATTGGATGAGTTTCAAAGAAAAAACATATTGGATGAGTTAGAGGTGAACTGTTGAAGCAGCATGTGAAAATCCTCTGTGGATCAGATATATGCATATTTTTGTCTGCATCAGAATGTAACTGTAGCAGTCTCCATAGAGAGTGCTGTTTGAAGGTAGTGGGCTAGGCTAGTCAGTGGCCAGGCTAGCATGAATTTAACGGTGGGACTGGCTTTCAAGCGTTTGTCAGCAGATGGGTTGGAGATTAGCCTGAATTAGTTTGATTCTGTTTTAAATTGATTTGGTTAGTGTTGCCAGGGGTGCCAGCATTCCCCTTTTTCTACTGGGATTAATTGCTGCTGCAAGGACCAGCTGCACCTCCACTTACTCAGTGCTTCAGCCCTAATCCAACCTCCCCCCCCCCTTTGCCTGAGGCTGCTTTTGAGATCACCAATATAATGTGCAGTGTGGGCATAAAAGTAAATAAAACTCTTGTTTTCTTGGCCTCTTAGGTATCTGCTGACCTGGAGTCTTCGGCAGACAAAAATGAGATGGCTGGCCTCTTGACTGAGACCTTCTCTCTAATGAAAAAAGAACTAGATTCCCTCAAGGATGGGAAAGAACTCCAAAAGGAAAAGGTGATGTTGGTGAATCAGCAGGATTCTGTTGTGATGCCACTGAGTGAGGAAAGCAGTGTCCCCTTATCAATCCCTCAGCATTTTGGGGATGAGCAGACTCTTGCTTTGTTGGAACAATACTCCAAGTTGTTACTACAAGCTGTTGAACGACGTATGGATAAAAAAGTCTAAAAAGTCGAAATGAACTTTTTGAAGTGATAATCACACAGGAAAACTGAGTACATGGTGGAAGCCCGGGATTGAATGCCATTATCCTCTTTGGAAAGAGGTTTTTTCCTCCCTTAAATAAGGAACAATGCTCTTTAAGAGTCCGTCTGTGAAAAATGTGCTGGTCACAGTACTGATCCTTTGTGTGCTCTTCCTCTCTTTGAACATTGTTTAGAAAAACTGCCTGGAACTTTCTTCCAGGCAATATGTTTTAAGTTAGGCTTTAAAAAAAAAATTCTGCAGGAACAAACAACACACTTTATTGTAATCTGTGGCCCAATCTGAAATGGTTGGTTTTGAAAGAGATAAAGATGGCACCAATCACTCCCTCCTTTAGGCTTGTCTTGGTCAATGTACAGACTGCTAAACTTTTTATTTATTAATTTATTTTTGTGGTTACAGCTCTCAGTGTTTTACCTACATTTTGTAGCCGTGGCTGTTTTTCTGTAGCCTTCTCGCTATCCTCAGTGAGAGACAACTTTGTTACAGTAAATGGATTCATAGAATAGCAGGCAGGATTACTAAAGTATTTTCTGCTGCTGCCTGCCTTGTTGAATTTCACTCCCTATTGCCTAGGTTTACTACACAGAGACCTTTTCCTATTTATACTTCTTAATATCCTCTGTCTTTGGTTTCGATAATAAAGGCCTGTGCTTTACTTATATATGCACTTGCTTCCAGAGGACGATGTACCCTTTGGACCAAGCTCTGGAGATTTGTTACAAGGCTATTTCTAAATAGAACAGCATGTTTTGTTTTGTTTTTAAAAAGCCTGTTTTTAACATTTTCTCAGATTTTTTAAAAAATGAAACTTGATCTTTTGTCAGACATTAAAGTGTTTCAGAGTAATTGAAGAATCTTTTATGAAGTTTTTAGCCACATTGTCCAACTGGAATTGTATAAAGGTTTCTTGATGTTAAAACAATTCTATCTTGGGAGATTTAGATCTTGAGGGCACCCGGGTAGAGGGCGGGCTCTTTAAACGAAAACAAGAAAACACAGGATGGCTGTAGCTTTTGTTCCATCCTAATGGGAATGTAAAGATTGTTTGCTCTCCAGCACTGTTCAAGAGATGCATAAGACATGCCTAGCCTGCCAAGATAGGGATCCTTTCATTTGTTTCCATGGCTAATGGCAAAAAACTATCAAGTGTAAGTGGGTACCAAATACAAGCTGCTGTGACAATTTCCATTTCCTTTTCTATTATAGATCTTTGGGAAGAAATGCAATTTTAAAAATACATATCTGTTGAGTGGGAATGAAAGATGCATGGGTTATTGTGTTCAGTGGCCACCTCATCTTATCAGTCTTGTCCAAGCCCTCTAAAAGGTGCATGCAAGTCTCTTATATACTACTCTCGTTCCCTCTCGGGCAACACAATTTCTAGTTTACTGAATTATCAGTCTTACCATGTTCCAAAAGTGCTGGTTGACACAGATGAAAACATTTTAAAAATACCTGTCCTTCAAAGTGTTTAATGCTGCTGGGTTTTTGGTCAGAGACTGAGAGCGACTTATTCTAGTTGGCTTTTTCCTCCTTCACTTTTGGACTTGTCATCCAGGCAATTTCTTAACTGACAACCCCTATAGCAGGGCTTCTGGTCTGAGACAGGGTGGATCTCAGGACTGGAGCTGCAGTTCATGAGGTCCTTGGCTGGCTTGGCCAGCCACCCATAACTGAACTCCAAGGCTGGCGACTTGGTATTTTGTGTGTGTTTTTCTGTACACCTCTCCTAGAACTTTTGTGCTTATTTTAGATATTTTTCTTTGACATTTCACAGAAAGAGTTTGACTGGTAGTTAAGATACAGACACCCAAACTGAGGTCCTGCTAGTCCTTTCCTTCCATAAAGGAGCATGGAATCGGTCAGAGACGTGATTTAGGTAGCAACGATTGGCCATCCATCAAGTGAAAGTTAGGATTGTCTTTTGCCTGTACAGGAAAGATCTTAAAAGGCAAAATATGTCTGTTTTATATTTAAACTGTGAAAATAATGTTCAGTGATCAGGAAACATGCATATACATACTCAGGTCAAAGAGCTTTCTGGTATCCTGTGATACCACAGAGTTGGAGGTTCTTGGTGTGGTGTTCCTTAATTTAACCTTTTGAATTTGCCAAATATATTGGTATGAGAGCAGGTTCAAGTTTCTGATTGGCTTTCTATGGACACTACCCAATAGATTTATTTGGGATGCTCTTGGATAAAAAAGCAAAATGAAACAAGTTCTATATTGATGTCAAAACGGGGCTTCCACTGGATAATTCATGTGAAACTGCTTTTAACATTCAGCACTGTCTGCTTTCATGATTCAAGATGGGAAAACAAAATAATGGTGTGAGAAATGAACTAGAATTGTTTTGTGTGGCCTTAAGTAAGTAGATACGGAACGGAAGGATGTATGAGTTGGCCTGTAGTTTCCAGTAATACATTTAGTAATAGAGCCAAGACCTCTAGAAAACTTGTAGTGCAGCTACAAATTGTTTTGGGAGGCAAAACATGGATGAATAGTCTTTAGATAGGAAAGAGATAGTTAACCAGAGACAGAGTTTAGTTAAGTAGAACTGGACAGGAATTTGTTGATGATGATTAAAGACTGGAAAGAGATTGTAGTTCTTAAGTCTTTTAATGTGTCCCCTACTTTTCCCACTTGTGTTCATGATTTGGGAAGATTTTGGGAATGCCTTTCCTCTGCCGATTGTTGTTTGGGCCACCTGGCTCCCATGAGTTTCTTAGCATGACTGTCATCCAGCAGAAGCCCTAAATCATTGTTGATGTCATAAGAATTTGTTTTTGCAAAGCTGCTGCTTTATCTGAAGAAAATACTTGGATAGAAAATGTTTTATTCATTGGTGGTACCGTGCTGCCGGCTGCAAGTATCAATTGTGGAACACTGTAAGGAATAACTGTTATGAGTAAGGTTGTCATATGCCTGCTGGCACTCCAGCAGCTGGAGGGAGAAAAGTAAAAATTTAAAAACACACCATCAGCAACAGCATATCGCTCCTGGGAAAAAAAACAGGAGTGATGCCAGCCCTCTCTAGAAATCGCTGAAAAAGCTATGGCTTTACTGCAGCGCTTCTGGCAATTCCTAGAGAGGTGTGTCGTCACTTCCAGGTTTTTCCTAGAAGTGACATCATGCTGCGGGTGATGGTTTCCCCCCATGTCCCCCCCTCTGCTTCAGTCTCCCACTGCTGGCTAGGCCAAGCCTGGCAACCCTAGTTACAAGTCAGTAAAGTAATTCTGCTAACTGTATTTTGTTTTACATTGCATGCAAGTTATATTACAAGTGTCCATGATCCCCATTAGGAAATCTTCCAAAGATACTGAGAAGCTGGAAAAATATAAATACGTGTAGTATTTGACTCTGGCCTACTTCTACCATTTTCTTTAAACTATGTGCATGCAAACATAATGTATTAAGACAAGTGTGGAAAGTATGTCCAAGACCCTGGATCTATCACTTATGTATTACCTCCATGCTTCCTGTAATATTTCTGAGCAGGGTAACTTGAAAATGATTTCTTTGTGTATGCTGTTTTTCTTTTCAAAGACAGTCCTTAGAAAAGTGAACAAATACCTGTGCACTTGAATGGGACAAAATGGCCTGTTCTTGAAAACCAAATTGTGTTTACACCAGCTTTTGATACATGCAACTGGTGCTACTGGATAAGGCTGTTTTAATTGTCCACTTGATTCTAATCATTTACTTTTCTACTGAAGATCACTCTAATAGCTGATCCTATTAGATACAACTTTCACTCCAATGTTCCAGAATAAATAAACTTCCCGCCACAAAAAAGCTACTGCTAAGGCCTATGTTGAAAGTATTATAAACCTAATCATTACATACTAGTACACCGATGCCCAGGCACTGGAGCGCCAGCATCCTGCATTTCCAGTATTTTACAACTTAGTTGGAGGGAAGCATCATCATCTTGTGGCCCTTCAGGTATTGCTGACTCAGTTGTTCTTTTTGTAGATTAAAAAAAAAAGTATTCAGAATATGGGACTTTTGTGTATAATATTCTGGACTGGGATGCTTCTATACTAGGCTAATCCGCTGTAAATCACAGGCAGTGTGATGCATGGGGCAGCAACCTTAGGAATAAGCCATGTCTACTTAGCATGTCTAAGTTATGCCACAAGCACCAGGTGGACATCCCTTTGTTTCCTGTGTTCTTTCTACACTCCCTCTTCACTGTCCATTGGTTTAAAAGGAGATAACAAACCTGAAACTTTTATTTATAAATGTGTTTTTTCTACCTTGGCTTTAAGAGAAAAAAAAACCTTTAAAATGCCTTTTTTAATTATTTGAAATACCTGTTTTATGTTTGTGGGGGTTTTGCACTGTAAGCCACCTTTCTGGGGCTATTTTTAATTATGTACTCATTTGTACTCTGTGTCTTAAATAGTTTCAATAAAAAGTGTGATCCTTTGTTACAAAAAGATATCTCTGTGCCAGTGCTCAAAACAGCTGCCATCTTAAGGGGCTTTGGGAGTGCAGAATGTTGCAGAATATCTATTTCTGGGTCCCTGGCTTTTTCTTCCTGGTTACTTATGAACTGGACCTGGGTAGGGAAGCAAGCTCACTACCATGACAATACTGATATGCTAATGTGAATCAGCCAGTACCAACTGATAACCACAACTTTAATGTGCATTACGTTAGACACAATGTTTTCAAATATTTTTTCCTTTCAAGTCAATGTTGTACATGCTTATGTAAATCTGCCCAGAGACTGCTTACCATCAGCCCAGACATAGCACCCAGCAGGTGTCCCCAGTCTGATGCACCACATTAAGAAGTTTTGGAATTCTTAGTTTCAAAATGCATACCTCTGTCTTCCAGGAAATAAATATATACCATTCAGTATTACTGATCAGTCTGCCAGTTCCACTGTTTTAAGTCACAAGAAGCTCTATAGTAGACTGTCGCCATTTTCAGGGGGTCAGTTCTCAATATTACCATGCATGATGAAATCCATGAGTAACTGGGAGACATTGAGGAATTTCAGACAGACGATATAATCCGGAAGAGGAACGGTTCCCAAACGGTTTCTGGTCTGTCATTTCAGACAGAACCGTTTTAGAACCGGTTCCCTACCGGAATATATTTGCAATTTCAGACACAAACACTTCTGTCCCATTTAAGAAACGGGGCTGAAGCGTTTTACCTGTCAACCGCTTCCAAGTAGTCTTCAGTTTCCTCTCCCGGTTCCGATGTGCCTTTTCCCACTGTTTTTTGCCCGCGCGGGCATTCTCCGGCTTTTTTTTTTTAAACGTTCACTCTATAGTGTTATAGCGCTATAACGGAACAGCAGTATATCAACGCCATTGGAATGGCTGGAGTGTTTTGTTGTAGTGCTATAGCGCTATAAAGCGAACGTCTTTTTTAAAAAAAGCCGGAGATCGCCCGCGCGGGCGAAAAACGGCCAGGAAAAAGCGGTGCAGTCTGAAATGGCAAACCGCTTCAGATCCAGATCTTTACCAGAAGGGGAAAGCCATGTGTGAAATGGCAGCCCTATACCGGTTTACTCCGTGACAGATCAAAAACGTCTTAAAAACGGGTTAAAAAGGGTAATGTGAAATTCCTCATTTTTCCTTCAAAAATGTAATGATTATAATTATGGTATCATAGGAGTAAAAACAGGCAGGAGACAAACTGTGCTATACCACCTCACGGGATTGGGCTGCGGATAGTGGATAAGTGACATAGCTGTGAATGCATGAATGGTGTAAGGGTCTACTGTAAATAATTTAGGAGCATGTGTTGAATTTATGTCAAATCTTGCCAGACAACTAGGCAAGGAAGATTTGTAAACTGAAACAGGATGCTTTGTGGGAGGCCAGTGGCCTGAGAGAAACAACAAACTAACTATAGGTATGAGATGGCCTATGCAGTTGTGCAAATTTTTACATACTAGTTATTTTTGTGGATGTGTTTGGTGAGACTGGTTTATGTAGTAGGTGACAGTCAGTAGAGCAATCTAATCACAGTGTTGGACTAGGACAGGAAAGACCAGGGTTAATTTCCTCAGGCAGCCACAAAGTTTTGTTAGCCAAATTGCCTTATTACCTTAATAAAGATGGGGAATTATGAATATTAAATGGAAATAGGCTTTAAAGGAGCAATGACCTTTGTATACCAGAGTCCTTTATTCAGATTCCCAGAAATAGACCAGGAGACTAGATCTTAAATCTGATTTATTTTACTAAATAATTCACACACATACAATAAAACAATCACACAATCAATACAGAGCTAAGAAATTAGATAGAATAGTACAGTGACAGTTGCATGAGCAGGATGTATCGTTGGTGGAGTAATATGTTACCTTCTGACACGATGAGGTGATCCTGTAGTGAAAAATCGGGGAAAATACTAGGGAAGGGGATTGTGTGATAGCCAGCAGCACTAGGGTTGCCAAGTCCGAAGCGGCGCTGGAGCGGGGGACTCCAGCGCCGCTCCGGAAGTGCACGTGCGCCACAACCACATCACCCAGAAGTGATGCGACCATCCGAAGGAAAGAACAACGATATTAAATATCAAAATGGCCCAAGGTACGTAAAGTTACGCAGTGCCAAAGCACCTGCTTGGAAGCTGTAGCCTGATCTCTTGATGTAACAATAACCTACTTGGATTGAATTGACTGCTGTCCAACAGCATTATTATTAAAGAAAGTATTATTATTAAAGACAGTATTAAAGAAAGAACAAGTGATATCTATGCTAGATTTTAAAGGGCTAGCTAATTACGTATGCTCCCAACTTTTTTTTCATGCTCACTTCTGAGAAAACATTGGCTGCCTAAGCTGCTCAGCTGCAGTCACTCACACACTCTGCATATGCTCAAACGCGGGTTCTCATGAATTCTCAAGGCAAATTACAAAATTAAGAACAAGGCAATCATAACAGCGTAAGACACCTAGTGAACAATGCAATTGGACTAACTCTACCCCATGCGTGATTTTATAAATTTCTATCATGTGTTGTCGCCCCCCCCCCTCTTTTCTAAATAGAAAAGGCTCTTCAGCATTCCTCATGGAGGTGCTCCAACCCATGGGCCCTAAGCATCTTGGTTGGATCTCTGGTCTGAGGACGGGAGAGAACTCTTCAGCTTCAAAGAAGAAGATGCTGTAAGGGTCGCCTCCATGCTTGAGAGGAAATGGATGGAGCATAATGGCAGGGTCTCAGTTAATTACTCTCAGCATTCCACAATTAAGGATTGTTGTTGTTGTTGTTCAGTCGCACAGTCCAGTCCGACTCTTCGCGACCCCATGGACCAGCTCCTGCCAGGCCCTCCGGTCTTCCGCCGTCCTCTGAAGTTGGCTCAGTTTCGATGACACGGTCTAATAATCTCATCCTTTGCCGTCCCCGTCTTCTTTGACCTGCAATCTTTCCCAGCATCAGGGTCTTCTCCAGTGAGTGCTCCCTTCTCATTTGGTGGCCAAAGTATTTGAGCTTCAGTTTCATTATCTGGCCTTCCAGGGAACAGTCAGGGTTGATTTCTTTTAGGATTGACTGATTTGTTCTTCTTGCAGTCCAAGGGACTCTCAAGAGTCTTCTCCAGCACCATAGTTCAAAATAATCTATTCTTCGGTGCTCGGCCTTCCTTATAGTCCAACTCTTGCAGCCATACATGACTACTGGGAATACCATTGCTTTGACCACGCGGACTTTTGTTGGCAGGGTGATGTCTCTACTTTTTATCATGCTGTTTAGGTTCGCCATCGCTTTCCTCCCAAGGAGATGTATCCCAAGGATACATCTGCCCATCAGTCTCCCATTCTGACATATTTCCTTCACAATGTTTTCCCCAGAATTAAACCCAAACAAATGGAATCCATATAAACTAAGCTCGCTATTCTTGTTTGGTCCTTGAATTTGTTAAATATCTTCATTATGCTGTATGCCCATTTCATTGTATCTGAAGAAGTGTGTGCGCACAGAAAACCTAAAGTGTTGAATAAAACTTCGTTGGTCTTAAAGATGCCACTGGACTCAAACTTTAGTCTGCTGCTTCAGAACAACACGGGTGATCAGAGCTGTCCACGGTATTCCAAATGAGGCTGCACCATAGATCTACACAGGGACATTTTTAAAAATATCAGCCGCACCAGAAGGGCCAAGCAAAAGCAGCCGCGAGTTAAGGTCACCCCTCCCGTACCGGGGCGCAGAGAGGGCGACGAGGTTTTACGCAAAGCCAATGGGACGCTCTGCTTCTGGTGTGCGGGTTGGCTGCAGACGGAGGGAGAAAGGCGGAGCCTGAACGCCTCCTGCGGCAGCCGGCAGCACAACCCCCGCGCCCGTTCACTGCTCTATGGCGGCGGCCGGCGCGGAAGGGGAGGTGCTGCGGCACGTGAGGCAGTGCCTGGCCGGATTCGCGGCCGAGACGAGGGGTGAGCGCTCTCTGCAGAGAGAGAGAACGAATAACACTGCCCTTCTTTGAACTGGAATCTTGCTCTCTTGCCCTTTCTGTGGCTGGCTTCCCTCAGTCGCTCTTCGCCTGGGAGGCGAGAAGTTCCATGTTATGGCGCACGGAGGTTCGCGCCGTTATTGGCACAGGAAGTGCTGCAAAAATCCCACCTCTTCCCTTCATTTGAGGCTTTCCCAACCCAGTCAGGACCTGTCTCTTCGTCCCTGTGCTTGTCTCCCAGCCAGGGCTATTTTATTTCCACCCATTCTTAAAAGGAGACTGTTTTGTGCTTTGGGAGTGCTGGACTTCACATTCAGTTCGTGGATTACTGCTGTTATGGTTTTCTGTGCGGAGTCTTTGCTCATGGATATTAAAGGCATATTTCTTCTCTCTCCCCACGCTTGTCAAACCAGCAGTATAATATTTTAATTTTTCTTTAAAATCGTTGGAACAGGCTATACATTTGTTTGGCACTCATTACAGTAGGCATATAGTCCTTTTGAGTGGGAGCAGCTTTTCGGTTCAATGGCTGAGAGGCTAGTATTTCATTGTATATGCCACGTGAGCATCTGTGCCAAGGTCTTAAATGAATCTTCGATGCCACCTTTCTAAATCTGTGTCTATGCAAGCCACCTTACACTATTGCTTGACTAGGTGCTGCTAAATGTTTTGAAGTTTTTTGAAAAATTTCACAACCACCTTCCAATGCTCCCTCCAAGCTGTTGGGAGTCTTGTGAGTAAAAATTCTACTTTGTGAGCTACTGGCATTAAAGTTGTGACTAAGCAATTTGGCTGCTGCATAAATTAGTTTGCCCTGGAGCCATCCTTCTAGAGCTAGGACAAAAATGTGTGAGCCGGATGCTAAAAAATTGTGAGCTAGCTCACATTAACTCAGCTCAGAGGGAACACTGCCACCTTCACTTCAGGCACCTGTTTTCATTTCCAAAGAGCTGCAGTGTTATTTGAATCACTGATATGTAAATGAGCAGTGTTCCCAAGTTAGGAGATAGTCCCTTACTTAAACAATACCTTGTTTAGTGTGCAGGTTCTTAAGTGGCTTGAAGATTCTTGGAGACTCTGCAACCAGATCTTTTAAACCGACTGTCTGGTTTTCCGTGGGCCTGGAGATATTCTAGCTGGGTAGTTAGAATGCTGGCTACTCAAGCTGTCATATCAAGCCAGCATTCCTATTTTATTGGTGCATGACCCCCAAAGTCCAAGTCATTCTGGGTGTAACAGGCCAGAGCCACAAGCAGTCAGTGGAGAGAATGATTTGCTGAGCTCTTTCAGAGGAGGGAATCAATAAGAAGATACTTGCTGTGGTTTAATAGGAACTAGGTTTCCTTTAGTAACTGTCAGCTCAGAGATTGGTAAAGGTCATTATATCTGTGCCTCCCCTACTTTTAGCACATAAGTGGCACAGACTTCCAATTCACAATAGCAGCAGCTGTGAGTACAGAAGTAATGAATGTTAGCTATTCTAGGTTGATTAATGCACATCTTGTGCATGCAGTATTAGACCCAGGGGAACAGAAGAGACAAAAGGAGAATTGAGATGGTGCATGCGTTATGGCTACGCAGGGAAGAAGAAGAGGAGATTGGATTTATGCCCTGCCCTTCACTACCCAAAGAAGTCTCAGAGTGGCTTACAAACTCCTTTCCCTTCCCCTCCCCACAACAGACACCCTGTGAGGTAGGTGGGGCTGAGAGAGCTCTGACAGAAACTGCTCTTTTTTCAAGAACAGCTCTTATCAGAACTATGGCTTGCCCAAGGTCATCCAGCATCTGCAAGTGGAGGAGTGGGGAATCAAACCCGGTTCTCCCAGAGTCCGCACACTTAACCACTACACCAAACTGCCCCCTGGAAAGAGCCTCCATGGGACTTGTTATCTCTGTTGTAGCTGGAGACTCTCCTGGAGAGATTCCACACCAGTGTTAATTGTCTTCCAGTCAGTGACAGTGCTGATGTGGAAGTTCTTTGCATCATGCAACAGAATCATAGGGCCTGCTGTGGCTGCAGTAGGGATAAGTCATAATTCGGAGCCTGATTGGGATGGCCTGCGTATGATCAGAGTAACGCATATTCAGGCAGTAAGCTGAGCAAGAGTACAGGGTCCATCTGCCATTTAGGCCATAGTAACTAACAACTTCTCAGGAAACTTTGAGACATAGTAATGCTAAGAGTTACAGCCTTCCAAGCCAACTGGCTTAAATGGGTGTAACGTTGCCATAATTGTAAGAGCTATAGTGAAGAATTCTGTAAAGCAGTTTTGTTGCTCCTTGAATTTATTGCAAGATTGTTCACAGAAGTGATTTTCTTTCCTTCTTACTTTTTTTTTGTTTTTCTTGAGCAGAGTTGTGTTTAACAGAGTCTGTGCCGTCCCTCGATGGCCCTCCCTCTCCCCTGGAATTTTATCGGGAATGGGTGTGCCCAAACAAACCATGTTTAATTCGGAATGTGGTCAACCACTGGCCAGCTCTGAAGAAGTGGACTTTAACTTACCTGAGGTAGGAATAAATTTGGAAACTATATCAGTAGCTTCAGATATAAATTTTAGAGCAGGGGTCATGGAATATTTTTTAATGAAAGCTATTTCTGAATAATAATAAAAAATCCTGAGCTACCGCCCTCCCCCAGCATGTTACCAAGTTTTGTTCTAGCAGCAGAAGAGCACCAGTAATAAAGCTGTCAGTCCAGCAGCACAGAGACAAATCCTATGAAACACAAGCTTGAGTGGGAAAAAAAACTGTAGAGCAAATCTTTTTGCAGTCTTTTCTTTCTAGCAGATGCATAACTAATCTGCAGCAGCTGGCAAGCTACCTGTTGGAGACCTCTGCTCTATACATACTCTTAAGTATAACTATTAAACAGTAAGAAGACTCAGTTTCACAATTGTGTTTGGAAGACAGGCACATGTGTCCCATTTGGGGTTTTGTCTGAAGTGTGTTTATTGCACAGCTTTGAACTTTTGGTCTATTTTGCTGCAGGGCGGTAATGAGCTCCAAGCTGGTGAGTGTGGCAGTGACTCCAAATGGTTATGCCGATGCAGTTTGCCTAGACCGGTTTGTTATGCCGGAGGAACGACGCATGTCTTTCGGTGCTTTCTTGGATATTGTGGAGAAGAAAGTAACTTCCCCAGGGGTGTTCTATGTGCAGAAACAGTGTTCGAACCTGACTGAGGAATTCCCTGAACTCATAGGTGACGTGGAGCCTGACATATCCTGGATGAGCAAGGCCCTTGGTAAAGAGAGAAATCCTCCTTCCATTGAAGTTTTGCACTACCTATTTAACTGTTCATGTTTACAAGTAATTCTTCAGTTTCATCCTGAATTCTTTTTCTGTGGTTGTGCTTCCCAAAGGATGAATACTGCTACTCGTTTTGAATGACTCCAAAATCTTGCTTTGGCTGATAGGGCTTCTAGCATGAGGAACCAATGGCTCAGTTAGAGTGCTTTCCATGGAAATTATGAACATAGTTTCATGGTAGATAGATTAACACAGGTAAGGGCCTCTGGAATTTGTAGGATGCAGGGGAATGAGGCAGAGGGATAGAAGAGACTTTCTGTACCATCAGCCTAGCAGTTGCTGCTGTTGCAGCTGCAGATCTGCTTAAGCTAGCACAACCTGGCCTTGACTAGTGCTGCTGTGATTCTGTGCAGGTAAATTATGAAAGGGATAATGTACCCTGAGTGGGTGGGGAGGTGTTCACCTGGGGATCCTGCATGCAGTAGAGCACAGCTCCAGTTGCCTCTGTCAAATTCATTGCTGTTTTCTTTTCCATGCAGGAAGAAAGCCTGATGCTGTGAATTTCTGGCTAGGAGAATCTGCTGCAGTGACATCTTGTATGTACTCTACAGTGAATGTGCTTTCAGCTGCAATTTTTGGCTTTGGGGGCAAGGATGGAGAGGGATACACTTTTAGAAACATTGTTCAGAGAAAGTCTTTAATATACTTCATGATACTTAAGCAGGTCCTCAATTTTTCCCCAACTGTAGTGCATAAAGACCATTATGAAAACTTGTACTGCGTGATTTCGGGAGAGAAACATTTTCTGCTGCACCCACCAAGTGACCGCCCCTTCATCCCACATGGTATGTATTCTGAGAAGTAGAGGGTGCTGTTGTGAAATGGGCTGATGGGAGGTGACTAGAATAATAGAAGTATTTCTGCAAAATTTCTCTGTAGATCATGAATAGAGATCATGTTTCCTCCATGAACCAAAGTGTGAATGGCCATCATGTGGCATAGGTAGCACAAATGACATTGGCAGCTGGGATTTGTGTCATGGGGAGGAGAGTGGTGGGCCTTGCTATGGCCTAGTGTCAGGTTTACGCTCTGCCTGCTTTTTCTATGCTGCACTGTTGCCTACTCCTCAGTTCAGGTGATATAGCAACACCACATTCAGGCAAAGGCTGGGGGTGCATAGGTAGTATAGTAAGTTCTAGTACAGTGTACTTTTGGCTTGGTGGTCCGCTCTCCATAAAGGTTAGTCACCAGGTCTTTTATTATAAAGGCTCTTATGTGGAGCTAGTGCTGCTGAGCCAAGTGTTCTGACTGAAGTCAGTTCCATACCTAACAGTTTTAGCTTCTTCATTATAAAAGGTTAAAACACCCTTCTTTCTGCCCACATCTTGTAACGGTTCTCATACTTTATGTTCCAGAGCTGTACCCACCAGCAACGTTCCACATGTCAGAAGATGGGTCATTTGAGGTTGTAGATGAGAGCTCTGCAGAGAAGGTACTCCACGGGTTTATGTTAAAAGTGCCCTAATGAAGCCGTTACTAAGAGGGAATCTTTCCAAAGAATGGAGGTCATGACCTGTATTATAAGTCTAAATTACTATAGGTAAAATAAACATGAACATTTGAAAGAGTAGTAGATTCACACATGAGCACAACAAGCCTGGAATGCAAATTCCAGACCTGCCATACACTGGCA